TCTGACATCCTTTATATATATATATATAACATTTGATGAAACAAAATCAGTTAGTTTCAATGATGAAGGGTGGGGTTAGGGTTTACTTACTAAATTATGCAAAAAATGGATCTTTATTAAAGAGTAGAACACTTTTATTTTATTTTTTTTAAGCAAATTTTGATAGATAATAGATTAATTAAGTAAAAATAGAAGAAGCAGAAAATATTATAAAGTTAGGCATTGTGAGTTAAAATTCCTTTTAAACAAGCCACTATCATGTAAGTGTTGAAGCCATCGAAATTGAAGTCTTTAAAAAAGGAAACGATGATATAGAAGAAGACAAATAAATTATGGAAGAGACAAGAAACTTCCTTTGTTTAGGGACTTGTTGAAAAGATTAAAAGGATTAGGAACGTGCTCCTTTCTGACACTAAACAAACTTCTCTCTTACATGCGAATATGCGATACCTTCTTGCCTATGGCGCTTAAGCTTCTTCATTATCTTCATAATTTTTTCTCTACTCTTTTAGCTGTAAATGGGTTTTCTTTTTCCTGTTTAGCCTTTTCTCTGTAATGGAAATGGCGTCTGTTTGGTTATTGGTGCTTGTGTTGTTTTCTGCAACTTGTAATGTTTTTGCAGAGGGAAACCCAGAAAGAGAAACTCTTATTTCTTTCAAAAAATCTCTTGAAAATACCGAGGGCTTTCTAATGGAACAGGAAGACCCCGCATTGTAACTGGGTTGGTGTCACTTGCGAACTCGGTCGAGTCGTCTCACTCTCTTTCCAGCTCTTTTCCTCAAGGCTCCTCTTTCACCTTCTCTTTCTTTTTACCCAGTCTCACAGTTCTTGACCTCTCCTCAAACCGTTTCTATGACCAAATCCCTCCTCAGATATCGGGCTGAGACGTCTTAAACAGCTGTCTCTCGGTGAAAATCAATTGTCAGGTTCGTGCCCCAGTGAACTCGCTGAGTTGGCTCAACTTGAACCCTGGAAATCGGGCTCAATTTTTTTACCGGAAAAATCCCACCTGAGCTTGGGAAACTGAAACAGCTGAAACGCTCGATTTATCGGCAATGCAATGACTGGGACTCTAACGAGTCAACTCGGAGAGTTGAATCAGCTGTGTTTTTGGACTTGGGTAACAATTTTCTCTTGGTTCTCCCTGTAATTCTCTTGACAAATTACAGTCTTTGACTTCTCTAGATGTCTCAAACAATTCCTTGTTGGTAGTATTCCTTCTGAAATTGGTAACTTGAAAAACCTCACCGATCTTACCTTGGTATAAACCATTTTACCGGGCAGTTACCTCCAGAAATTGGCACTTTCACTTCTTGAAAACTTTTTTCACCTACTTGTTCAATACAGGACCTTTACCTGAAGAAATACAGTTGAAATCTTGAGTAAACTTGATTTCATAAACCCATTGAAATGTCAAATCCCAAAATCTATTGGGAAATTGCATAATCTAAGTATACTCAAACTGTTACACTGGGCTTAATGGTTCATAATAACCGAGCTTGGATTTTGCAAGAATTTGAAGACTTAATGGTCTTTCAATCATTGACTGGGTCATTGCCTGAGGAGCTTTCACAGCTACCAATCTTAACATTTCTGCTGTGAGAAAAATGAGCTTTCCGGAATATTGCCTTCTTGGTTGGGAAGTGGAAGGAAATGGATCTCTTTTACTTTCCAGTAACGGGTTATAGGCAAAACCCACCGAGGTCGGCAATGTTCCATGTGAATCACTAGTTTAAGCAATAACTTTCTGTTGGTTCAATACCGAGAGAATTGTGTAATTCAGAGTCACTTGTGGAAATTGATCTGGATGGGGAATTACTTTCAGGGACGATTGAAGATGTATTGTCAGGTGTACCAACCTTACGCAGTTGGTTTTGGGTAGTAATCAAATTAATGGTTCCATAACCTGAGTATCTATCAGAGCTTCCCGTGATGGTTCGGACCTTGATTCTAACAATTTCACTGGTATTTTGCCAGTGAGTCTCTGCAATTCAACGAATTTGATGGAGTTTTCTGTGGCAAATAATATGTTAGAGGGTTCTCTTCCTGGCAAGATTGGTAATGCAGTTGCATTGGAGAGGCTTGTTTTTAGTAACAACATGTTGAAGGGGCTTATACTGAAGGGATAGGGATCTAGGTCTCTCTTTCTTAATTTGAACTCAAATTCTTTTAAGGGACCCTACGAGCTTGGTGACTGCATTGCAATTACCACATTGGATCTGGGAAAACAAATTTCAGTGGTTCTATTCCAGATCGGATTGCAGACTTGGCTCAGTTACAGTGTTTAGTTCTTGCTCACCAATAGTCTCTCTGGTCAATTCCTCAAAAGCTTCTTCATATTTTCGTCAGACTAGCATGCCTGATTTGAGCTTTGTCACGCACCACGGAGTATTTGACCTGTCATAAATAGGTTGTCTGGTTTATTCCTGAAGAGCTAGGGAATTGTTGTGGTGGTGGTGGATCTTTTGCTGGTAATAATATGCTCTCTGGAGGTTCCGGATTGCTTTCTCAATTAACAAATCTTACAACCTTGGATTTGTCTGGGAATCTATTAACAGGTTCATTCCACTTGAATTTGGTGACTCCCTCAAGCTTCAGGGGTTGTATTTGGGGAATAACCAGTCACAGGCTCTATCCCTGGGAGCTTAGATCGTTTGGGTAGTTTGGTGAGAACTGAATGTGACTGGCAATAAGTTGTCTGGTTCAGTTCCAATTGGTTTTGGCAACTGACAGGCCTTACTCACTTGGATTTAAGTTGCAATAAACTTGATGGTGAGCTCCTTCATCTCTGTCACAGATGCTGAACCTTGTGGGGCTTTATGTTCAGCAGAACAGTCTTTCTGGTCCACTTGATGGGCTCTTCTCGAATTCTATAATGGCTTGGAGGATTGAAACAATGAACTTGAGTAATAATGTCTTTGATGGTGCGTTGCCACGATCTTTGGGCAACCTTCCTACCTAAAGAATTTGGATCTGCATGAAAATACGTTACAGGAGAGATTCCTCCAGAGCTTTGTAACCTGATGCAAATGGAATATTTTGATGTTTCAAGGAACAAGCTATCGGGCAGATTCCGGAGAAGATGTGCCATTTGGTTAATCTGCAATACCTGAATTTGGCAGACGATGGTTGGAAGGGCTGGTTCCTGAAAGCGGTATTTGCCAAAACCTATCAAAATTACATTGCGGGAACAAAGATCTGTGTGGGAGAGTCCTGGGTTTAGACTGCCAGATCAGAACCATGATAAATCAGCACTGTTAAATGCTTGGGGACTTGCTGGAATTGTGGTCGGAAGTGCATTGATCATTTTAACTGTAGTATGTGCTCTGCAGAAATGGATGTAAGAAGCCGCAGGCAAAATGATCCTGAGGATAATGAGGAAAGCAAGCTAAATAGTTTTATTGATCAAGATCTTATTGTTTAGTAGCAGATCCAAGGAGCTTGAGCATCAACGTTGCTCCATTTGAGCAGCCTCTCCTGAAATTAACCTTGGTTGACATTATTGAAGCCACCAACAAATTCTGCAAGACAAACATAATTGGAGACGGTGGTTTTGCAACTGTATACAAAGCCACTTTGCCTGATGAGAAATCTGTTGCAGTAAGAAGTTAAGCGAGGCTAAAACACAGTGTAACCGAGAATTCATCGCTGAAATGGAAACCTGGGTAAAGTGAAACACCAAAATCTTGTGCCATTGCTAGGATACTGCTCATATGGTGAGGAGAAGGTCCTTGTTTATGAATACATGGTAAACTGGAGCTTAGATCTTTGGCTAAGGAATCGCATGGAGCTCTAAAAGTCCTCGATTGGCCTAAACGTACAAAATTGCATGTGGGGCTGCTCAAGGGCTAGCTTTTTTCACCAGGTTTCATCCCCCACACCACACCACAGGGATATCAAAGCCAGCAACATCTTGCTAAATGAAGAGTTCGAGGCAAAAGTTGCTGACTTTGGACTACTAGACTGATAAGTGCCTGTGAAACCCATGTCAGCACCGACATTGCGGGAACATTGTACATTCCACCGGAGTATGGTCAAGAGTGACAGATCTACCACAAGAGGAGATGTTTATAGCTTGGGGTGATCCTTCTTGAATTGGTGACTGGGAAAGGGCCAACTGGACTGACTTCAAAGAGAAAGAAGGCGGCAATTTGGTGGGATGGGTGTTTCAGAGATTAAGAAAGGGCAGGCTGTTGATGTTCTGGATCCTACCGTCCTCAATGCGGATTCAAAGCCAATGATGCTTCAAGTTCTGCAGATCGCTGCTGTTTGCCTCTCAGATAATCCTGCTAACAGGCCAATAATGCTTCAGCATTAAAATTCCTTGAAGGAATCAGAGATGTCTGAATAGAAGTGGGCAAATAATACAGGTTGCTAGTTTAACTGTTGATTTGTTGATTCATATATGTTCTATTTCTTTCACAAGTAAGCACGACACCAAATATAGTAGCTAGCAACTTACAAGCAAGCCCTTGCATGCATACAGACCAAAAAAAAAAAAAAAAAAAAAACTGGATTTAGCCACATAAATTCATTTGTGCAGTGTGATTTATGATTGATTTCTTGGTTAAAGTTCACCTTTTCAACTGAAAAAGTTTACATTGGAACATTTACTTGGTGAACATAAGTTTTTCGTTCATAAAAGTCAATTCACTTCCGTATTGTTTCTAAAGAACTAGTGCAAAATGTTTTTTTGATGTATGGTTTCTGGTGGCATTATCTCAGTATTTCTGAGACATTTCTTCAAAGGAGATCTTTCTTCTTGCTTTATCATGTTGTTTGACGATATCAATGCAAAAGAATCTTATTTTAATATGCCAAAGATATCAAGCATTGTTTTTCTTTTTGTTTATCTGGCTAGTTCTGTAATGCAGTGCCCTGTCCAAGGTTGTAAATAAGGCAGCTGATAGTGGGATCACGGCTCTCCATATGGCTGCATTGAATGGATATTTTGATTGTGTACAGCTTTTGTTGATCTTCAGAAATGTATCTGCGGGTGAATTTCATTATGGAACATCAATGGATTTAATAGGTTTGCTCTTGATTTGATTCTTGAACTTTTTGGGCATAATCTCTTTTAGTCAATGCTTGAAATACATATCATATTTATTTCTAGGATCTGGAAGCTCTCCTTTGCATATGCTGCTTGTGGAGGAAATTTAAAATGCTGTCAGGTGAGGATTCTAATATCCTTTAAAGATTTTCATAAGAGACCTTTAGTTCCCTTTAACTTTGAGATGACAATCGTACTATTTCTGCAGATCCTTCTTGCAAGGGGTGCTAGTCGTATGTCCTAACTGCAAGGGTAATTAATTGCCTATGGTTTTGTTACAGAACTCAGCACAAACCAAGATCCTATAACACAGTTAATCAAACAAGATCACCAATAACAACACAAAGATTTAACGTGATTCACTTATCTTTTTATGGATAAGCTACATCCACGATGAGCTCAAGAAAAGGTATGAGCTCGCTGCGCTAACTATTACCAGAAGAATCAAAATTACAACACTTCCAAACAAACACCCAAATAACCCGTACAATAACCTGTAATCAGCCAAAGAGAAACTCACTGAGAATCCCTAACCCGAGAGAACAACACTCTCACCCAAATGATTAAGACCCCTAACCACTCAAACCTGATTACACAAACAACAGCAAGAAACGTTCTCAACTCTAACTCCTTAATCGCACAAAGAAACCCTACAGTGTTCTCTGTTTTTGCTTTTGTAGAAAAGTGAGTTTATATATGGTTGACTAAGTGGGCTGTATTTTGGTTGTTGGATCTATAGTGAATCTTGTAGTTGAGATTGATTTGGTAGCTTGTCTAAAACGATGACGTCTTTCTTTACTCAAAACGGAACTGTTTCAGGCTTCCATTTAACAGGCTTCTCTTGCAATGTGTGTTGTATAGAATTCAAACATTGGTTGATTTTGTTTATGATTGGGAGGTAATAAATAACATATTCCTGTTTGTGCAAATATGACACGTGTAGACGTAAAAATCTACCTGTAGGGGGGGGAGGGTCTGATCTCGTGAGGTCAGGAAAGTAACTTTGAGTAGGAAAGTGACCTCGAATAGGAGATTGATCGGGAATAGGAAAGTGACGTGGGGGCCGTGGGCTCTGAACTCGCTCATAGGTCCAAGAAGTGAGCTAGGATTGGGAGGCTTGTGCCCATATGGTTTGGGCTGGCTATCTCTCGAATCAAATGTGCCTACATCGGGATTAGGCCTGGTCTCTTCCACACACTCAGGCCCGTTTTCCTATTTGGGCCAAAGACGATTTTTGGCCTTAACAACATGTTGCAAGTAATCTTTGCAGAGAGTGTTGGTTGCAATCCTCAGATGATGTTGATACTTGTGCTGTCTGCCTCTGGAGAGAGCATGAACTGTAGCTGCTGAAGCTTCCTTCTTTCTTTGACTATTTTTATTTTTTCAAATGTTGTTTAACAATAATTTTATGAAAAACTCCAAATTCAACCCTAATTGGGTGAATTTACTTTTTAATGGAGCCCATAATCCCACCTAGTGAAGCCCATAAGCGTATAACACTTCAACCTGATCATAAATGATAACAAAATCAATTTTTTAACCAAGTTTCAATCTCATGTCAAACTTCAACTTGTTCAGTTTTCAAATAAATCAAGATGATGCCAACTCTACCCGACTAAAATCGAATTATTTGATAAAAGCTATCTCTATATAATTTAGAGAAACATTACTAGAACCAAAGCAAGTTAAAGCATTTATAGAGTTCAATTTGTAGATTTTGCGTGCATTCAAAATAGATACAATAAAAGCATATATAAGCTAGTTTTGTCCTCATCAGAAAGTTTTAATTATTGTATTACTTGTTCCAATAGCCAAAGACAAAACCGATGATTGAAAATTCTAAAGTAAAGATAAGATTTTAAGAAGTTATACCTCTAATAATAAAACTAATAACAACATAACATATTAGCATTACCATAAAATGTTACATATTGATAAATCCTGATTTTCTGTAACGAAAAAACTCAAATAAAAAATAATTGGAATCAGAAATTGAGATTGAGCAGACATACCCATATATCCAAAGGTTTGGAAAGACTTAATTTGCAATTCAAAAGAACTTGAATTTCTTACTTCTTTCATGTAGTGGTTCCTCGTCATCATTGGTAGCAAGGCTTCTCTTAGCTGTTACAACATGCATAGTTGGATTGAACTCTTTCAGCTCTTGCTCATATATTGGATGCGCTCCACTCCTCTTCACCTCCAATCCATGACACTCTTTAAATAAAAACTCAATGTGATTAAACTTGAACTCCCACTCGCAAGGCCAATAGAATAACCAAACATGCTCTGAAATGGCATAGATTAATTCGTCATAGCAATAACTGAAAGGGAAAAGAATAGTATTTCTTACATCAATTTGCATACAGCATTGCAAAGACAATAAATCTGGAATATTGTTGGGGACAGGCAGATGGCTGCTAATGGCAAAAACAAAGCACACAAAAAATGCCATCAACTTCTTATTATAAAAAGTTGGAGGCCTTTCTATTCTTATTGAAGAACCCTCACTCTGATGCTTTAACCACAATGGAATTGCACTTCCAGGAACAACCATCCACAATTTAACACTTGGATTTTGCAAACACCGTACCTCAAATTAATTAAGGAAAAAAAAGTCAGATAATTAATTGCCTAATGTTTAATACATATACAAGTGCGAGAGAAAGAGAGACTGACCTTGAGGAAATCTTTCGCCATCAATAAGGTCAAGCTTTTGTTGTTGAGCAATTTGAAGCAGTTTACACAAGAAATACAGAAGTTTTTTACTGTTTCTTTGTAACGAAAAAGGATATTGGATCGAAGTTGTGGCAACGACTCGAGCCACTTACAATCGTCTAAGTAAAGATATTGAAGCTTTGGAAGATGACTGATGCTTGCAGGTAATGAAATAAAATTATTTGAGCTTAAATTTATGCGTTCTAATGAATATAAGCTTGCAAAAACATCACTGGGGATTACTCCTTTCCCTAGATTACAGTCACTGAGATCCAATATTTTTAGAGAACACGAATTTGATAGAGAAGGCAATATCAAAGTCTTCAAGTCTGAACTTCTTGGTGGCCCTTTGCATCCTTCAAAATTCAATTCTATAACATTCCTCAAAAGAAATATGGACGACACTGTTTGCGTTATAGCACTTCCATTTAGATTAATATCCTTCAAACTTTCAAGTTCCTCCAAAGTCTCTGGTACATTTTCAAGTCTGAAGCAGCTAGAGAGGTTGAAAGTGTGAAGAGATTTCAAACAATTTATAGATCTCGAAAGACTAATAAGACTAATGCAACCAGAGAGACCAAGAGTTTGGAGAGATCTCAAACCATTTAAAGATCTCGGAAGATTGATTAGACTACAACAACCAGACAGATTTAGAGCTTGAAGAGATCTCAAACCATTTATGGTACATGGAAGACGGGCTAGTTTGGAGCAACCATTGAGATTCAAAGTTCGAAGAGATTTCAAGCAATTGATAATACTTGGAAAGCAACCAGAGAGATTGATGGTTTTAAGAGATCTCAAATGTTTGATAATACTTGGAAGACTTGCAAGTTTGGAGCAACCAGAGAGATTGACAGTTTTAAGAGATCTCAAATGTTTTATAGAACTTGGAAGACTCTCAAGACTAGAGCAACCAGAGAAATTCAAAGTTTCAAGAGATTTGAAACTGTTTGTAGAACTCGGGAAAGTTGAAAGGTTAGAGCAACAAGAAAGATCAAGAGTTCTAAGAGATGTCAAACCATATATTGAACTTGGGAGACTCACAAGACTGGAGCAACCAAAGAGATTCAAAGTTCTAAGAGATGTCAAACAATTTATATTACCCGGAAGAGTAAGAGATTAATATTATGGTTTACGTGCAGCTCTTCAAGTCCAATCAGAAGTTCAATTGACAATTGCATATCTTTAATTTCAGTCTCCCTGAAGTATAGAAACCTCATACGCCCTACAGTTCTCATAATCTCTGGAAACTTCTTCAGTTTTGGACAAGAACTAATCACAAATTCTTCAAGAGCTTCCATATGGATCTTGCTTGGAAGTGTTGTTAGACTAGAGCAATCAAACACATCCAAATAAATAAGTTTCTTGTGAACAAGAAAAGGTGATTGTATCTCACGCAATCTTGGACATCTAGAAAGAATCAACTTCTCAAGATTTGGAGCCCATGTGAGATCTGGAATTTTTTCAGGGTTTTGACAATCTTTCAGACTAATTGATACCAATGTGTTCAACGGCTGTCCAAAAAAAAAAAGAAAAAAAAGATCTGCTCTTCTTATGACCGTGTTAAAAATAAATAATTAATTCCTAGGCAAAATTATATAAATACAAAGTTGGGATCCGAACTGATAATGTTGTTGATAAATAAGTCCGTTTAATGTGGTGCTAATACATCAACAACTCCATAAGTTAGAATGCTAACTTTATATTCATAGTATTGCTTATAAATATTTGGGTGAATCAATCTTACCTTGACTATTCTTTTCCATGGTCGTTCGTTGCTGCTACAATGCAAATTAAGTTTGACAATTTTTTCTGGTTCGAAACTTGATGGCAAGGACTTTAAAGAATACCCATGGCATTCGAGCAACCGTAATTCATTAGAAAGGTATTCAAGGTTGTTATGCCTGGGAAATCAAGGGCTGACGTGGGAAATCACGTGATGGGGGTGACCTGCTCCCGTTAGAACGGTAAGCACACGTCAGGCATGCAAGGCGCCGTGGAGCTCCCACGTGTCCATTTCCCTGCTCCAAATTGCGTAAAATCAGCTTGGAAGGTGGGCAATGTGACATAAAGCCGGATTTAGTCCTAACATTCGCACCAACCCACGGATTTAATGATGGTTATCTGCACTCATCTCACTATAAAAAGGAAGGATCTTTTTATTAAAAGGATTCGGCCTTCTTGCACTCTGAACTAGCTTTCTCTCTCTCTTATCATTATACTTTTGTATTTACTTTTCTCAAATTCTTTGTAAGTCAGTCCGCTATTGCGACCTGACCCTCGATTCTAATACAAACTATCAGTGGACGTAGGATTTGCTACCTTAGCATCCGAACCACTTTAAAAAGCTCTCATTGTTGCATTTACTCTACATTTCATCCATAATCACGTGTGTCTCTTGACCAATCAACGTTACGCACGTGTCGATTAGTTGGTGTCAAAATCACGCATCAACAGTTTTGGTGCTAGAAAGAGGGCCTGATTTAGTGTTCATCCTTCATCAGGAGGATCTTCAACCTACTGGTCCTACAGCAACAAATGGCCGGCCAATCTGAACCTGAGCAAGCCAACCAGCGTGCTGAGGGAGTTCCCCTAACCCAAGGGGATACCCCTTCTAGGATACTTCCAGTTTCACAAAATGCTGCGGTGGATATCTCGGCAGCTTCGCAGCTTGACCCCGCCATCAGAAGCTACCTGGAGAGGTTCGACAATACTCTCCAGACGGTCAACCAGAGGCTGGACCGTTTGGACCAAGGCATATCATCTAGAATAGCTGGGGCGGTGCAACTGCCAGAAACACCTGCAGGTCACATGAAAGCGCTACAGAGGGAAATAGCCCATGCCGCGAGCACTGCAGCGCGTAGACGTAAGGGCAAGCAAGTGGCAAAAATCAAGCCTACGGGCTCCCAAGGACCAGCAAACACAAACCGTGCCCCAAGCAGGGTGCCGGCAAAGTTGAGACTTGGTGAAAAAGTGAATCCCGAGCTGTCCCATGCCACGTCGCAAGTGAACCCAAGCAAAAGTGTCAGGCGCGACGATTCCTATCACCGCCAGCAGAACAATCCTGATCGCTATCATGCGGGTGGTCCCCACACCTCGCGGGGCGGTTCGTACCATCGCGAGGGTCATGAAAATGCCCCGCACAATCCATCGCCTTCACACGCCTCTAGTCAGCATGTGTCGAGAGCGGCCGAAAATGCCGGCTGAGGCGAAGAGGAGTCCGACCTCCGGACTTTCCTGAACCGTAATTGCGAAGGCCGTACTCGCATGGGTGAAAGCAATCCCCAATTGGCTCCGTTACCACAAATTGAGGAGCTACAACGAGCTCTGGACAGGTTAAGGGAGCAGCAAAACGAGTAGGCCTAGGTCGCCTCTGTATCCCCTTTCTCTCCCGAATTGCTAGCTGCTCCACTCCCACCAGGGTTCAGAATGCCCGACATACGGCCGTTTGATGGGAACCATGACTCGCAGGATCATTTGTATGAGTTCAACGACCTGATGGAGCTCCACCAGGTTTCAGATCTTGCAAAATGCCGTTGTTTGGCCGTAACGCTGACTTCTCATACCAAGCAGTGGTTAAGGTCACTCCCAGCGGGATTGATCAGTTCGTGGCCTCAGATGAGCATGACGTTCCTACGGTATTTCCAAGCAAATCGGAAGTTTTCGATGCCTTTGAGCTACCTCAACAACATAAGGCAAGAAAGAGACAAATCCCCACAATCTTACATCGACCGTTTCCACAGGGAACTCAACAAGATGGCTCATGCTAACGAAGAGTCCATCCGAATGCTCATAATAGCTGGAGTTCGCCCGCAAACCGACCTATGGAAATAACTACAGGCTGAGGACGATGTTTCCCTCACCAGATTTTACAACCTTGTAGAAAAATATCTCCAAATAGAGAATTCATTGGCGGCACTGCGTCGTCACCATCACGACACTTCAAGCAGTATGTCTGGTCGGGGGAAAGGTAGGAGAATTGATCGCAAAGGAGACATCGACGATCAGCAAAAATGGAAGAAACCCCGTTACGAACACAAAAAGTCCTATGCTCCTGTTCCTCGTCGCGACTGAGACAGAGTTCAATACACTCCACTGAATGTGTCCATATCCGTAATTCTTGACAAATCCGAGGAGGCCAGCTTGCTCGGTGAGCCTGAACCCATGAAAACCCCTGCTACGGCTAGAAACAGCAAAAAATAATGTCGTTTCCATCGGGACAATAGGCATCACACCAATGAATGCCGAGCTCTAAAGCAGGCAATCGAAGAGCTCATCAAGAAAGGGCACTTCGAGGAGTATATTGATGACTCTACTCTGAAAGAGAACCAAGGGGAGCAAAAGAAAAAGCGTCATGATCGCAGCAGATACAGTAGTGTTAACATAATCTTCGGAGGCCTGCACCTCGCGGGAAACACGAGAGGTGCACAGGAAAGGTACGCTCGCGAAGCATATCACGACCCGGTCAGGGTAATGAACACTTCGCAGTGACCGCAAAAGGCTCGAAAGGAGGAGCCGATCACCTTCTGCGAAAAGGAAGCAGCTCGCTTGCACCATCCTCATGAGGACGTCCTGGTGATCACGCCCCTGATAGGGTGCCATAATGTCTATAGAATGCTCGTGGACAACGGAAGTGCTGTGAACATCCTGTTCCAGATCACTTTCGAAAGAATGAACCTAGACGAGGCCGACCTGAAGCCCGCCTCGATAACTCTTTACGGTTTTACAGGGGACCACCTGATCCCCAAAGGAACGATCCAGCTCCCAGTCACGCTCGACGACTATGACGACGTGACTAGGGTTACCAAATTTTTGGTCGTGGATTGCCCATCGACCTTCAATGGAATCTTGGGGCGAACTCTGTTGAGAAGCTTCAAGGCAGTCACTTCCATATACCATCTCAAGATGAAGTTCCCAACTCCAACGGGGATAGGGGAAGTGAGCAGATCGCAAAGCGCATCTCGCGAATGCTACGTAAAAGCGGTGCATGTGGCAAGCAAGGGAAAGGGCATTTCGCGATGTACGCCTCACCAGGCTAGGGCGATCAGCCGGATCGAGCCACAGCCTGGTCCAGCGGAGGATAATATAGATCCTCGAATCCAGAAAATCCCTCCCAACGGCCCGGTTGAGGATCTGTCCGAGATTTCGGTTGATCCAAAAGAGCCGAGCCAAGTGTTAAGAATTGGAAGTTGTCTCAACCCTCAGCTCGCTTCCGAACTGATAAGCTTCCTAGTTGAGAATATCGATGTGTTTGCCTGGTCGCATGCAGATATGGTTGGGATCACCCCAGACATCACTTGCAATGCATTAAACATTGACTGTGAGGCCAAACTAGTTCGCCAGAAAAGAAGAGCAATGGATCCGAAGTGGTATGCTGCATTAAAGTTAGAAGTGGAAAACCTCCTCTGGAATGGGTCTATCCGAGAGGCACTCTACCCGACCTGGGTCGCCAACCCGGTCCTGGTAAAGAAGCCAAACGGCAAGTGGCGGACCTGCGTTGATTTCAGTGACCTCAACAAGGCTTGCCTGAAAGACAGCTTCCCTCTGTCGAGAATCGACCAGCTCGTGGATGCCACCTCGGGGCACGAGCTACTAAGCTTCATGGATGCATACTCGGGATACAATCAAATCCCGATGTATGGGCCAGACGAGGAGCATACGTCCTTCATTACGAACTAGGGGCTGTACTGTTACAAAGTTATGCCTTTTGGCCTCAAGAATGCTGGTGCAACCTACCAGCGGCTGGTTAACCGAATGTTCTCCGATCAGATCGGAAAGACAATGGAGGTCTATGTGGATGACATGCTGGTCAAATCCCCGGTCGCCTTAGAACACATTGCACATCTCGCTGAGATGTTTGACATCCTCCGACTATACAGAATGAAGCTGAACCCTCTCAAGTGTTCGTTCAGGGTATCGTCAGGAAAGTTCTTGGGGTACATGGTTAATCAGCGAGGGATAGAAATAAACCCCGAGAAGATTCAAGCTCTGCTTGATATGGAGAGTCCGGCCAACAAAAAACAGGTCATGAGCCTAAATGGGTGAATAGCAGCACTTAGTCGCTTCATATTGAGACTAACAGACTGCTGCTTACCATTTTTCAATGTTTTGAAGGCCAACAAGAAATTCGAATGGACTCCTGAATGCGAACAGGCGTTCCAGAGTATAAAAGAACACAAGGGAAGCCACCTCTCCTCTCTAAGCCTCTTCCATAGGAAATCCTGCTAATCTACATGTCCGTCTCTCAGTTCGCGGTCAGTGCAGCTCTAGTACGGGAAGAGGAAAAGGCGCAATGGCCAGTGTACTATGCGAGCAAGCATCTGATGGATGTTGAGATGCGGTATTCAGAAATGAAACGACTAGCCTTTGCTCTGCTGATCGCATCCAGAAAGCTGCGACCTTACTTCCATGCCCATACGATCCACGTAATGACTAATTACCCCCTCAGGCAGGTCCTCTAGAAACCAGAAGCCTTGGGTAAACTGCTCAAATGGGCCATGGAATTAAGCCAGTT